GGACTGCTCAGTACATATTAGGAAATGGTTTTTTTGACAGGCAAAGACCAGTATAATAACAAAGTGCAAATTAATTTTGGTAATAGGCATTGGCACTGTACAGTACTCGTACAAGTACAAGCGTTGTCATACCATAAGTAGTAGATAGGAGAATCTAAGATTATTCGATGTATCATAAGTTCCTGATTATCAGCGAGTCGAGTCAATGCGGCTGTTGCCTGTAGGGTTGGTGGGAGGGATCGAGTAGCTAATCACGGACGTGTGGGTGGAAGCGCATTGGGTAGGAGGAGGTAGGGTAGGGTAGGACAGGCAGGATGGGAAAAGCAGGTCAGGCGTGGCCTTTGGCGAGGGCAAGCACTTGGCGACCAGTAAATGTAACCCGAGAAGCGCAAAACCAATAATTCCTGCCCCCGTGGAGCAACCACTAACCAGTCGATACAGTGCTTGTCTCCCAGGGCATGCTCTTGGGATTACTCCGCCGGAAACTGCCTCCCTCTCTCTCGACCTTATTTGAATTTCTATCTACACGGAATGGGTGTACTTGGAACTGGACCCTGGTAGCGAGCAAGCACGGTCGCCGCACGCCTGTAGTACCACAACTAATTCTTCACGGGTATTTTGAACTCAACAAAGCCCGGGTTATCGGATGGTTGTTGGAGAGTAGGGGCGTCTCGGGTGCTGGAAGCACCGGTAATAGGCTAAGTCTCCTACGGGTTGTCTTCTACTTCTGTGCAAACATTAGAACAGTCGGCCACCCGTATTCTCGCGTATGCAGCGGCAAGGAGCAAACCATGGCCATCACCAACTAGCACCTGGATATCTCTGTGATCTTACCTCGGGCCAACACCAAGCAAGAAGTGGGGAGTAATATGCGCGTAACTGGGGTGACAAGAGAAACGCTAGAATCATACAAATAGAGTCACTGCTTAAGAACAGGAAGGGTAAAGTCTTGGACCGCACAGCGACCAGAATAAATGCATTAAACTTTTCAAACAGAATTTCTCTCCGGTATAATATCCTCTTTACTCTTGAGAAGACAAGGTAATACTGACTCGGGTGCATCAGTGGGATTCACGACACCAAATCTGTGAGCAATTACGGAATCTCTGGAGCTCTTACGGGGCGGTTGAGAAATCCAACAGAACCCAAGCATCGTACTTTAGCCGATTTACCGTTCAATCAGCGACAGTTCCACTACGGTCTCCAGAGGGGAAGGTAATAAAGAAGACTTACTGCTACACTGTCACCGCTCTGTTCAGCAGAATACATTCCCTCCCAAACCTCTATCTTCTGCGCAATCAAGCTGTCCTCTGTAATCCCCATCCTCCTAGCACGCAACTCGAATCTAGCAGTCCTCGAAGCCTTCCGCACTCTCATCCTGTTTGCCTCACGTTTGCGCTGTGCCGGTGTGACTATATTGATTGGTTATTACAACAGTAGGGGAAGTTTCATGAAAATGGGTGATGGAACTATACTTCCTGCAGCTAGGAGTCGGTCGTGCTCGATCTTGTGAAGTTGCAGCCAAGTATCCTTCTCATCACCACTGCGCCCGTGAATCCCAGGGCGCTTGAGGTGCCTCCAGAGGTATCCATGGGGCATCTCTCCCTTGAAGACCAGGGGACAGCATGGGACAGGACAGGTGAGTGTAGGCTGCCAGGAATTAGCAGGAGTGGAGTTTGGCAGAGCTTCTGAGAGGCTGGTGGAGGATTTTTGGTTCTGGGGGATTGTATTTTCATTCGAGGAGGAGGAGGGGGTGATGGTGGTGCTAACCGCGTAGCGTCCGGAGGTGCCTTCATGGGAATTGAAAGACATGATTATGGGATGGATATCAGGATATTTGTGACGAGAAGTATCCGCTAACTTTGGGTAGAGGTGGAGGTGGAGGCGGAATGGAAGCAAGTGTTTTCAGTTATGGTGGAGGACAGCGGAGCAGGTTCTGTGAGAGGTTAAATTACGGGTGTTACACACAACCCTTCGTACTTACAGAGGAGGGAGAATGGGGAGAAGTAAGTGCTGACTCACCTTGAGAGTGAGGCCGATGGTGGTGGCTGCTGCTTTTTGATATTTCTGCTGGGTACTTAGGATTAAGAAGGAGGGAGGAGTGATGAAGAAGCCATTGAAGGAGAAATGAGGAGAGCTATATACTTTTGGTCATGGATTCTCACTCACTCCTCGCGCAAGGGTCCTGGCACCGGCCAAAATTCTCACCAACCACTCATAGAAGAACACAGCTGTGCAAATCCCTGCGCGTACTCCTGTGATGGTTTTATGTTCCTCATCCTTAGCACGATCGAATGCTATGAACTAAGGTAATGGCGACAAGGTGCCACAAGCCATGAGTAAGCACAGGTGAAGGATTGATCCTGGTGACAAAAATGGAAATATCTTTTTAAAGAAGGGTGGCCGAGCTCGGGCCTTACTGGCTAAAATTTAGGAAGGCTCTTTTTTTCTTCTGGGGCAAGTGGGAAAGTTATAGGGGATTGGGTCACTTTTCGCCAGCCTTTTCGCCAGCCTACTGCTCCCGTTGGGTCGCTTGATAAATGGGCCACGGATGACCACCTGCCTAGCCACCCTAAACCGGAAGCGACCAACCAGACAAAGCTTAACACGAGGAAAAGCAAGGATCAGAGGCAGGTGAAAACTGCACTTAGAGACCTGCACTTAGAGACCTGCACTTAGACACCTACGTTAACCTCCTGTCAAGTGTTTCACCGCCGAGTGATACACTGTGCTTCACATCAACTGTTCCAAGGCTGTTGGCTGTGCCTCTCCTGTCCGTTACACTATCCTTCTGACGTCCTCTCAACGCCCCCACACAACCTGGATGATTTGCACCACTTTTTTTTTTCGGCGACGATCTTTCGTATCTCTACTTGTGCCGTACGGTACAAGGAGAAAGACAGCAATCTCATCACCAGTAACTAATCCCCTGTTGGGCTACCCAAAGTACGGCTTTTCGGGCTACTATCTTTCAGGCGGATTCGAATCCACCAAAATGGGTTTTGAAATAGATCAAAAAAAAAAACACCCCTCGGCTAATTTTTACCCCGAGTTTCCACAGATATAGTGGTAGGTATTTGGATTCTTTCTGATCAGCTGCGGTGCACTGTGCAGTGCTCTTGCGGTATATCCCGGGTGGCCCTAGGGTTCTGAGGGAAATCTGTTGACAGTTTCCGTAGTAGGTTGAGAGGGTGGTATCATACGGTATACTAAGGGTTCACTTTCTTCGAGGGCTTGGCGCAACACCGTGCTCGAGTATTCTCTCCTCATTTCCAACTCCCTGTCTGATATGAAATACCCGTACCTGTGCATAATTAGCCCAGCGGCGATGGGCATTCGGGGCGGGTCTCGTGGGAAACAATATCGAGAACCTGGACAGGGGCACTTTTTTTTTTTTTGGCTTGCGGGTGATATTGTGATATCATATTTCAATGAGCACTCGAAATGCAGATCTAGTTCAGGATCTTAAGGAGACCGGT